CCCCAAAACCCCAAAACCCCAAAACCCCTAATTTTTAAAATAAAATAGATTAATTTAAAAATGTAAGCTAACCTCTAAAACTTTATTTTACGTGTATAGGATACACCAAATGGACAGTCTGAACCTCAGCTTTAAGGAACTTGATAGTATTAAGAGTGAAACAGCTCCAAGTCAGATTTATGGCTCAAACTTCTCTAAAAGGTATACGTTCTGCAGTGAGTTTTAGGAAACCTCATATCAATGGAAATTACCCAATGAACAGAACTCAAGAGTAAGTATTGTGCTCAAATTAGGCACATACCGAGAAATTCAAAGAATGGACCTAAATGTCGAAAAATACGCCGAAAGAAGATCTCATGCAAACCGATGCTAGTTGCTTCTCAAATCCCTCATTCTAGCTGAGGGAGGAACTATCGTAGGCCGATATCAACTAGGTAAATTCTTTATAATTACTTTGCCATTTGTTGATATTAACTCAACCATAGCCAAAATTATCGAAACAACTTGAACAGCTCAATATCGAGGGATACTGGGGGAGGTAAAAGAACACCTTGGAAGCAAAGAGATGACCTTAAGTCTCAACTCAAAATGCGTATTAAGACAATCGAACACTACAGTAACATAGAATGATTCAAAAAGTAAGAGAATTTGGTTAAAGCAAAATAGAAATCCTCTAAAATCTCCGAAGAGATCTATCCCTTTTGCTGAAAGAAGCAACACACTTGATAGCTCTCAGCAGAAAACGCTCAAGGAGATGTTCTTTCAGAAGATAAATTTCAATCGCAAATTGGTAAGTCTCCCTCTAATTACGGTTCTATAGTCCAAGCAACATAAGGTACTTTTCAGGCTAAATCTGCAACAGAGCTTGACTATTTTTAGAAAATGTTCCTGACGCAGAGCAACAAACCGAAAAGAGTAAGTTAGTAGCTCTATTGGTAGATGTTCTCCCCGAATAGAACGAATGTGAACAAAGTTACGTTAAAGCCATCTACTAATAAGAGGAGTATCTCTGTGAACAGGAATGCTCCAATAATGCGAAGGAAAACACTCAAGGCACGCAAACGTGTTGGTAGAAGTGTTGCCAAGAAAAATAACCAGACCAACCAAGTACGCATTATGACTATTTTAGACATACTGAGTCGGATATTCTGGTGGCACCCAGTGGAAGAATGTTTGGATGACTAAACCTAAGATCCTGTTTACCAACATGCTTGTAATAAATGACATGAAAAAGGTAGGAGTTTTAAAGCACCTCTTCATAATTGCTTAGAATAGTTCCAAGCCAACTCAGACAAAATAAAGGGAGTAGGAATAAGAAGCATCATTTTCACAGAAATCAACTAAAAACAGTAATTTTGTGCTTAAATTCAGACTTCCACTACGGCTAACGAAAATCCATCACTTCTTAAGAAGCCAGTTGCTTTGGACAGCCTCAAAAATTCTGGAGGTGTTGAGATTAATTCGAAGCCTGAATTTCCGAAAAATTCTAAGACTCCTGAAATGCAGGCTCCTGCTCCAAAGAGTCATAATAGTGTGGCTCCTGTTGCAGTAACTAGCAAGATTAGGTACAAGTTATTATTAGATGACACTGAGGACCAGCCCAATAAATCTCGTGAGAAGAAAAACATGAAAGATTTATGTAATACATTAAAACAACAAGCTGAAGAATCAGATACAAGCGATTGAGAAAATCCGAGTGAAATTGTACCAAGCCACAAAGAAGAGAATAAAGACAGCCTCCAAGCTGCTGATAAAGATTCTTGGTAATAATTTTTCTAACTTGGCTAGATATAGATCGACCGAAAATGGCTTACTGACTGAGCCTTCTTGATCTCAAAACTGAGACGATGAACATAAAAATATTGATGATATAATAACCAAAGATTTCGAACTGTACATGAACACAACAAAGAACATTAATGGTCTTAACCTAGTAGGAGAGGAGACTCCTAGAGATCTCTTCAAAAACTTGCACAAGAACAAGCACTTGGATGAGATTAAGTTCTAAATCTCACCTAATTTTTGCTATTCAACCCCTAATTTTTTTGAAGGGGTTTTGGGGTTTTGGGGTTTTGGGGTTTTGGGG